CGTCGAATGTGTGTATGCTGTCCGGCAGCTCGGAGCTCCGCTCCCTCATCCTTAGCGTAGCTGAGATTCATGGGCAAAGGCCCGCTAGATGAGCTGTTGGAATGTGCATTCCAACCAAGTCGTGCCGACTTGAAACTGAAGTCGGCATTCAATGCCACATTCACCCCCTCTTCAAATAAAGATGGATTCACACGGAAGACTTCCGTTCTGGCGACGCCAGTTCGAACGCCTCCGGAAGGGGATCTGCTGCCATCCTGGCAATGAGAGTGCGCATCACTTGGACAAAGTCCACCAATTCCTTGTTACCCTGTCGGGCGGCTAGGACACGCGATCGCGCGGGATATGCTTGATTAGGCGGCGAGAACGCTAGTGAGAGCTGCAATTTCAGCTCCGCCCAGAAAGGAAACGCAGCTTCGACCAAAGTGCGCACGTCAATGCCCATTCTCGCGCTCGACTGTCGAGCTCTGAGATGGCTAGCGCCACGCGCTGTTGCTCGGTCTGGAGCATGGCGGATGCGATGACCATCTCGACCTCACTCACCCAGAGTAAAAGATTCTCTCCATCCTTCCCCACAAAGACTTTGACGCTCACCATGAGCGGCTTAGGTCGGGGAAGTCATCCGTCACCGAACGTGGCGTCATAGACGCAAACGATGCAGACATCTATTGCTGCAGGTGCTCGAGTAGCGCATTTTTGTAACTCGGAAACGCCTCTAGACGCGCACCGATTGCCTCGGGGCCTTGTGCCACAAGGTGTTGCACGCCCTCAGGGTCAACCAAAGACATTAGCATTTTAAGCCCGTTCTGCATGCCTTGGGGCAAAGAGGAAAATTCCTTCATCCTCACAGAGAATCAGTCTAGACGACTCAGGTGAAAATTGACTAGAGGAAGCGTCTTTACGTCACCGACCTCTCGTACTTTACAAGAACCAGGTACGAGTGCAGCGGATCGCAATCCGCTGCCTCCAAGAGTACCTAAAACTTTGATCAAGGTGAAGCGACTCTTCCGTTCAGAGTTGAAACCGATATTTTATATTTTATTCTAATTTTAAAGTTTAGATTTCCCTAAATATACTAAATATACATAGTAAAATCTAAATACATGCATAACTACTGGCTACCTAGCCCTAACTGTGTTCTTGTTTGGGCGTGTGGTCCCATCATGCACATCTAGTGCGACACACACACCCTGTTCTTAGGGCTCGTGTGTCCCCATTACAGTTTCCCTTTCAGGAGCCTCACAAACCAGTAGTTATGATAAACCACTATTAATATACTATCTCGACTTTGAGTGTGGCCCGTCAAACTAGAATATATGGCAACAACATGTACCACACAGCGCTGCGCAGACACACGATGTAAGCTGGCTTCCTCCCACCCAACATTAAATCAGAATCATCCGGTATAAAGGGAGAAACTTCAATTGACATGATGTGTATCACAGTGGTGCTTGTGAGAGCACTTGCTCATTGAGCTCAGTGCATTCGATTGTACAGGGCTTTCACTCGATTAGCATGTAAGAAGTAACGCCTCGAAGGCAAGGCTATTGTCACCACTGCTACTAGCAGCACACTGCCTGCCAGTCATTTACAGGGCACCTCTGCTAATACTCGACAATTGAAGCCTTCAACACAAAGGATACTACAGAAATCTCTCTACCTTCGGACAGTGGT